ATCGAAGTTCTAACCAACCCGGAGAGTTTACAATCTAATCCCCCTAGTTATCTGGGAGAATGCAATCAGAGCACATCGATAATTATCGAACGAACTAATTAGCGACTAATAAAATTACACTAAGCACATGGAATTTTAAACCAAGCATAGAAATTAACATAAGAGCAAGCACATAAATAAAATAAAACAAGTAAAGTACTTAAAATAAAATAAAAGCAAGCAATGAGTATAACACAAAAATTAAAGTAAAGATAAATAAAAGCAAGCAGTGATTTAAAAAATAATTATCAGCAAACAATGAAATAAAGCAGGCAAATAAGTAAATAAAAGCAGCTAATCTGCTTAAATACTGGAATCATGCCATACTCTTATTCCTAAAGTGGCTAATCTAGAGTTTCTAAGTCAATTCAGACCTATTAGTCTGTGTTGTGTGCTCTACAAAACCCTTTCTAAGGTACTTTTGCTCAGAGACTAATGGTTTGCTTGGATTGTTGTGTTAGTATCCATCAACCAGCTTTTGTCAAGGGGGACAACTCACTGACAATATCATCATAGCTCAAGAAGCTTTTCATTTCTTCAATAGGTACTCTTCTCGCAGAAACTACTTTATGGCCCTCAAGCTAGACCTAAAGAAGTCCTTTGACAAAATGGAGTGGAAGTGCATACACAGAGTTATGCTTCAGATGGGGTTTCACCCTGACTTTCAGAAACTCATTATGGTCTGTATCTCCTGAACTACTATCTATTTCAAGGTGAATGGCTCAGTGAGTGGTTTCATTTCTCCCACAAGGAGAATCAGGCAGGGGGACACCCTGTCTGTAATATCCCGCTATAATATTAATGAAATATCATGTTTAGTTCCGAAATATTTAATTTATCATTCGTTATTGTTCGGAACTAATTAATGCAGTCAGGGATGTTCGAATTAATTTTTGAATAACAAGAGTATTCGGAATAATTTTCTGATAATTAATTCATGTCTAATCGCTCGATAATTAATTTTATCGAACTTAAGATCAATGTTCATGCATTAATGTTAAACTAACTAGTCATTAATCATGTGTTAGCAAGTGATGGGTGTTATTAGCGCACGTTAAGTGTGTCCTTATCTCGGACGTGCTAATGCACGCGTAATCGCACTTAGCGCCTTAATGCGCACTTAGCTGGCTAAGCTATCTTTAGTACTCCAAATGACCGATTATTTGGTCTTCAATTTTCCTCACGTGAAAAGGCATCATTACTTGCACACATGTAAGTTTGAGACAAGTTAAGAGAATGACTAAGCCAAAGTTTGGGTGACTAAGCAACCAAATGCCACCCTCATGTACTAGGCTCACGACACATGGCGCATGGTCATTGGCCCAAGATTTTCCCCAATTTTCACCACTTTTACTGTGCTATAAATCAGCAATTGGGAGAGGATTTGTAGCTTATTTCTTAAGCTACAAACTCAGCAAATACTGAGCCATATATTAGCCCTAATCACACGCACAAAGCAAGCACATCACGTACACGCACGGATTGGAGAAAATCACGATCAGTTTGGTGAATTTCATCGAGCACGTGAGGAGGTAAATTCATCCTCAATCTCTTTTCATGTTAATAAGTTCATGTAAGGTTGAATTGTTCAACTCATGTTCAAGAATTTATAGATATGTCATGATCAGGCTCGGTTTTGGCCATTATAGGTCATGACCGAGTAAAGTTCAATTCTTATCCGGCAACTCATGAATAATTCATGTTTATATGATCATTTTAGATCATTTTAATTTATATGATCATTTTAGATCATTTTATATTCAGTAGACTCATGTTGGTCGAGACAAGTTAGAGGTTTATTCATGAAATGGCTTCAAGCCGTCGGCAGCGCATGTCGTGCATGCCCACGGGCTGTGTCATGTCATGTCGTGTTATCTTTTGTTATGGTCAAGTTTGTCCGTGCAATTCATGTCTCAACTGCTTTAAAATGATGTATTAAGGTCAGACTTTTAATATTGTTTGAAGGAATTTCATGATTAGTTGAGGTATGGGCCTAAAACCGAACTCGTGTGCCTGGTGCGCACGCCTCGACATAAGTCAAGTCCTCCGAACGAAACTCAGTGAGTTTAAGGAAGATCAGCATATATGATCATGTTATGATAAATTAAGTTAAATCATGTAGTAGTTGCCGGAGAAATCCGCCGGACGGCCGACGAGGGTCGGTCGTACTTGCGCTGCCCGCACATAGCGACCGCAGCGTACCGGCGGTGCGCGGGTGCGAAGGTGATGTGCGGTATGATACCGCGAGCGGCCAGTAACCGAAGCAGGTAACTGTTGGCGATGCGCATGCGCACGCCAACACCCAGGCATGCACGCCAGCGTGCGGTAATGCACGCCAGCGCGCAGCAGCGCACGACAGTGGCTCGCGCAGCGCCAGTCCTGTCCAACTAGTGTTGTGCGCGCATTCATAAACCCAGTAGCACGTCGCGGTGTGCAGTAACACCCGACTGTGCCCAGTTCCACGGCAGCCGGTGCACATAGCACTCGGCAGCACTCCAGGTCAAGTCTATTTCACGTCCGTCATGGCCAAGTGCACACAGCACCCTCGGCTGTGGCCAGGACAGGCCCGGCAGCGGCCATGCCCGCTCCCAATTCCGTCTGCAGTCGCGCCCGCAGCCGCGGCAAGGCCGCGTACCGAGTCAGCAGCCAACCAACCGGTCCAGGCAGACCGGCGGTTCGGCCAGACCGGTTCAGACCGGTTTTAATCGGTTCAGACCGATTCAGTCCATAAATTATCAGTTAAATCCCGGTTCATGTTTTTAAGTCCCATATTCAGTTAATTTCCGGGTCCAGTCCAGTTCAGTAAAATCATGTCAGTTCAGTTCCAATTTTAGCCGGTTCTGGTTATACCGGTTAAGTCCAGTAGAGCATCTTAGTATATTTAAAAGTTATTCTTATTAGTTTGAGCATAGTATTTAGTAATTGTTTATATTATTTTTTTCAGTTTGATCAGGATTCTAATATCATCACTGCCTTTTCAGTCAGACAGTTCAGGTGGGGACTCAGACTGGGTATTACATTGATTATAATTATTCTACCATGTTTGAGGTATGTATTATCAGTATCCGCTCAGAATGGGGTCACCGGTCCATTCTGGGTTCTAGTGGCCTTAATCTGCCCACTAGAGTGTGCACATGGTGTCCGACATTAGATTTTTGCTGGCAGATGTTCAGGTATCAGGCAGGTGACTATATTATCTCACCATCAGTATCAGATCATGATTATTCAGTACCGGTTTCATGTTCATGTTCATGCCAAATATCATGTTATTATAATTATTTTCGATGTTTACTTTAGTACGAGTTTTCACAGAGCATAGTGTATTTTAGTGCTCACGACCCTCTTTTATCATGTTTTTTCAGGTCAGGATGTCGGGCCGGAGGTGTGAGATGATGGATGATTCAGGACTTTTACTCATGTGATTGTAAATATTTTGATGATGTTACGTTTCCGCTGATTATGATGTTTTGACGAACTTATCTTTTGATCGGACTTTTAGATATTTAATGCTTTCAGTAAACCGTAGATTTTTGCTAAAGATTAAAATAACGGTTTTTAGAATAAGTCACGTTTTTACAGTAGCACCCCGAATCAGTTTTTGCAAATTAAAAGATTTTATTTTAAAAGACTTTGCGAAATTACGCACTCTGATTTCACGATAAGGTGGGGTGTTACAGTTGGTATCAGAGCACGTTTCTGCGTCTCTTAAAATTTTAGGAGTCAGAAAGTTTTGAAAAACCTGAACACGTCATACTCATTTTCAGGAGTCAGAAAGTTTTGAAAAACCTGAACACGTCATACTCACTCCTCGCCGACTACAGGTAAGTGCTGATTCATGTTTTAAAATTATAAACAAGTACTATTTCTATGCTCAGAAATTTTCAGTTATAAATTAGTTAAGATGCTCGAATCATGTTCAGGATCAGTAGTTAGGATATCAGTCAGTATTTTCCAGTCATGTTTAGCAACTCGTCAAGAGATCTGTGTGCTTTAATGATCAGTCAAAGTTATTGAATTTTAATCATGTTGAATCTTTTCAATATTCAGATGCCGCCCCGTAGGGAACCTGAACAGCCAGCGGTCCCCCAGGCCACAGTGGTCGCACAGTTCCGCGACTACCACCCTGAGAAGTTCTCCGGCCAGGGAGATCCGCGTATTGTAGATGAGTGGGTTCAGGGCCTTGAATTGATTTTCGAGGTCATGGACTGTCCAGATCGCTATCGCGTTACTTGCGCACAGCTTCAGTTGACCGGTGATGCCCGACTCTGGTGGAATGCCTACTGGAGCATGCGTCCCGGCGAGAAAGAAGGTTGTACTTGGGACCGATTTAAGGAGATGATCCGAGAGAAGTACTATCCCACGCACTACCGAGCTGAGATGGAGCGGCAGTTTCTGTTGCTGAAACAGGGTACTCGTTCTGTTGATGAGTACGAAAGAGAGTTTACCAGACTTGGAGCCTTTGTTCCATATTTGGTACGTACTGAGGCACAGCGAGCACAACATTTCACTGACGGGCTTTACCCATCAGTCCGTCACAATATTGTAGGTCACGGGATCCAGACGTATGCTCGTACCGTTGCCATTGCCTAGAAGGTGGATGCCAGCATTCGAAGGGAGGCGAACCATAATCGATTACAGCCAGTTGCCCCTGCCCAGCCATCCATAGTTCCACCGACTGTTGCCCAGCCGCCAAAGAACAACAAGAGGAAAGGAAAGGGTGCCCAGACGGACAGGAGGACCCGACAGAGACCGCAGCAGATCCCACAGTGCCCCACTTGCGGACGACTTCATCGCGGCGAATGTCACATGGGCCAGGATATTTGTTACTATTGTCACGAGCCCGGACATTTCGCTAACTGTTGTCCGAAGAAACTCCAGCAGCAGCCACAACAGCCCCAGCAGCCACAGCAGCAGCAGCAGCCCCGACAGTAGGCCCAGTGGCCACCACAGCAGCAGCAGAGGGGCAGACAGCAGGCCCGAGTTTATGCGATCGATCAGGCCGAGGCAGAACAACACCCAGGTACCATGTCTGGGATGCTTATTCTTAATGACATTACTGTCTTTGCCTTATTTGATACGGGAGCAACTCATACTTTTATATCACGACGATGTCTCGATGCCATCGGAGTTCATGTCAGTACCGCTGTCGATCCTCTCGAGGTGAGTTTAGCCTCGGGACGAAAGATAGTGACTTCAGCCAGAGCCACAGACCTCAGTCTTTCTATCGGTGGTCGTGTATTGTCTACCGATGCTTATGTTCTCGAGATGAGGGATTTTGACCTCATACTCGGCATGGATTGGCTAACGCGTTTTCATGCAGATATCCAATGTCATGACCGAGAAATTTCCCTTTTCCTTCCGGGAGATGATCAGATCACTTTCTTCAGCACTAAGACTCGTTCCTTGCCCCATTTCAT